CTTTCTTTCTTTCTTTCTTTCTTTCTTTCTTTCTTTCTTTCTTTCTTTCTTTTAGATCTATCCGAAAATAAATGGAGAAAACGAGCTAGACCAGGTAACAATTCTCCGGGGTGAGGGGTGCAGCAGGCAATGTGATGAAAAATCATGGCACGGGAATGAAGTGAGAGAGGGGAAGGAGCAGCCGCAGAAAGAGGGGGAAATCCGAAAGGGCTCTGCCTGGAGCCGCTAGAAGCGAAACTCAGGAGTTCGGGAGAAAATCTCTTCCCAACTCCTGGAGCAGGCACGAGCCTGGGGATTGGTATTGTTCCTGTGCTCGTCCCCAGAATAATGCCCTGAAATTCTGCTGTTCCATCAGGCCGTTTTAGAGATCCTGGGAATAAAGGGGCACAATTGCCGCTGGAGAGTATCTGGGTGTGTGAAGGGAGGAAAGGGACATTCGTTAGAAATTCACTGCTCTGGGTTAGGGTTTCTTTCTTTCTTTCTTTCTTTCTTTCTTTCTTTCTTTCTTTCTTTCTTTCTTTCTTTCTTTCTTTCTTTCTTTCTTGTCCTTCCCCACACCCTCGCCCCGTCCATCGCCTCCATTCATAGCTAGTCACTGGAGATTTTACCCGCGGGTCGCTAACTGTCCCCGACTAACGGTCTGTTTCTGGGGTGCGTGGGTTGTTGTGTTTTTTATTCTCTCTCCCCAGCAGGGCATGGGGGAGTGAACCAGCTCGGGGGGGTGTTTGTGAATGGCAGGCCCCTACCTGACGTGGTGAGACAAAGGATAGTCGAGCTGGCTCACCAAGGAGTGCGACCCTGTGACATCTCCAGGCAGCTGCGGGTCAGCCACGGTTGTGTCAGCAAGATCTTGGGCAGGTAAGGCACGGGCGAGCAGCGTGTGCACCCCTTCCCCTCCTCCAAACAGCCTCCTCTCCCATCCCCCCGAGTCCCCCTCTGCGCCCCCGGGTTGTCACGCAGCCCGAAAGAGGAGAAGTGCATTTGCAGGACAACCCCTCCCCACCAATAGCCACCTCTCCCTCCCCTTTGCCTGGGAAACAACCTGAAGTAGGAACATTTTGGGAGTAGGAAAGAAAAGGGAAAAAATCCTCACCCCACCCCCACTCTGCCGAGCAGCCTTAAAAAACGGTCGCGACCAAATTTGGTGTGAAATCTCCCGGGAGGCAGATCGGGTGGGGGAACCTGCCTCAGCCCGGCCTTGGGGTTAAGGAAACAGGCTGTCTGTGTCTGAACCTCCCGGCCATTCTCCGACCTGCCCTTTGCAAAAGCGGTGTCCAAACAGTGCCGAGCTAATGGCCACGCGAGGACGTGGGGGTGC